ACATTAAAAGTAAAGCCTATCTGTCACTAGTCCGCCCTAAAGTAGAATACGGCTGTACCCTGTGGGACCCACACACATCAGACTCAATATCCAGTTCCTCCATTCTCATACCATCAGACAGTCGAACTCGTCAAAACCACTCTCTCTCCTTCAGACACATTCACTCAACCAAAGACACCTCTACATATTCTTTCTTCTCTCGAACAATCACCCAGTAGAATCTTCTCCCACCCACTGTGGTGATGTCTCCATCCGTTGATGTATTCTGAGTACAGCTAACTCCAGCTGTACTCGTTACATTCCTCTAAGCACCCCTCCATATGTATATAGTTTTAACCTCATTGTTTTTAAATCCACGCATTGCACAGCACACACAGAAGTCCGTAATCTTCAAATGATTGAAGGAGGATTGGATAACTAAAGAAGAAGAAGAAGAAGGAATGATGGACATCTACCTCATTGGAAATGAGGAATGATGGAGATCTCCCTCATTGGAAATGAGGAATGAGGGAGGTCTCCCTCATGAAGCTAGGTTTCAGATGTTGACACCTACGTTCAGTACGTGAATGAATATTTGTTTTGTTTATGACCTTAAAATAGCAGATGGAGTTGAAGTGTGAAGAATGGCATTTGAATGGATATCGATGCTTTTGAATAAAGTTATCAAATGGAATTTTGATGGCATTCTTTTTGCAAAGGGTCATTATCTCAGCATGCTACCATCATCTAGGCATCTTCGTTAAGTAAGTAATTTAGAAGAAAGGTTAAAGATATAAACACATTTGCCCAAAGTGATCTTAAATGCGGTTCAAGGTCACTCTTTCACCAAACCTGATAGTTTTTCATCGAGCATGCCATGCTCACTGGCCAATAGAGCACAAAAGCAGTCAAATTTTGCGTAGAACCTATTCCGTGCTGAAAATCTTTTTTATGTTTAGAATTACTTTTTCGATTTACTGAAACTTCTTGAGATATCTTCATGCAAAAATTGAAGAGTACCTAAAACTGTAACCCCCCACATAAGAGATGTTAACTTATTCTATATATAGTAACTAACAATGGTATTCACCTTCTGTTCATGACCTTAAACAAAACTGTGTTCAAAATCTGTTTATACTTAGTGTTTGAGCAATTAGTTTCATCCAGATCAAATTCAAAATACGGTCTGTATACTTTAAGTAAATAAACTTTATTTATTTTACAACAATTATGAAACAAGTGTTTTCAACTTATATTACAATCGTTTTTGTAATAGAAGTTGAAAAAACTTTTTTCATAATTGTTGTAAAATAAATGAAGTAAATTTAATTACTCTTGCTGGCCAGATGAAATGAGGAAACCGGACTACCTGGAGAAAACCCATGTGGTCGGGCAGGTGACAAAAAACTTTTTCATGTCCAATCCGTGAGTGGAACCCTGGATGTCTTGGTGAAAGAACAGTGCACTATCCACTGCGCCACCCAGGTTTGTACTTCGATGAATTATATTTGTTTTTCTTAACAACTGTGAACTTTATCTTGATCTGATTTCAGACAGGATGTCGATTTCCTTCAACCTCAAGTAAGAAACTTCTGAAATTCAGGCCGAGGATTACAAAATTAGTTTTTAATTGTGGTCTTTACCCACGTAATAATCATATGTTAGGTAATGCCGCCAGGGGAAGCAGCCCAAAATTTACCAAAAAAGTCACTGAGAAGTACCCTCAGAAGTGAACCAATGCGGATTTGTTTGTTTGTTGGTGTTTTACGGCCCATCGACAACTGTGGTCATTTAAGGCCATGGTGATTTTTATTTTTTTAAACAAACGTTAGTAGCGAAGANAAAAAAAAAAAAAAAAAAAAAAAAAAAAAAAAAAAAAAAATGTTAAAAGCATATTCGCATTGTATGCGTAAATAATTAATGGAAGCCCTTTATCCCAGCATGCTACTGGCTGAAGATTATCACCATAGGCCTCTTGGTTATTCAGAAGATTCTTTATTAAGGAAAAAGTTGATACCGGACGGATGGATGGATAAATGGTGTCGCATCAGGACATTAGCTAACTACAGCTATGTGTGGACAAAGCCATGTGATGTCATTATGTCACCTGACCACACATTAGTTCTAACTGACTCGAGCTCTGGGTAACTGTGATCACTGACTGTTGGTGTCACTAGCCCAGTTACATTGTATCCCCTCAGTGCCCCTCAGTGTGTATCCCCTCAGTGTCCCTCAGTGTGTATCCCCTCAGTGTGTATCCCCTCAGTGTGTATCCCCTCAATGTCCCTCAGTGTGTATCCCCTCAGTGTGTATTCCCTCAGTGTGTATCCCCTCAGTGTGTATCCCCTCAGTGTCCCTCAGTGTGTATCCCATCAGTGTGTATCCCCTCAGTGTGTATCCCCTCATTGTGTATCCCCTCAATGTCCCTCAGTGTGTATCCCCTCAGTGTGTATCTCCTCAGTGTGTATCCCCTCAGTGTCCCTCAGTGTGTATCCCATCAGTGTGTATCCCCTCAGTGTGTATCCCCTCATTGTCCCTCAGTGTGTATCCCCTCAGTGTGTATCTCCTCAGTGTGTATCCCCTCAGTGTCCCTCAGTGTGTAGCCCCTCAGTGTCCCTCAGTGTGTATCCCCTCAGTGGGTATCCCCTCAGTGTGTATCCCCTCAGTGTGTATACCCTCAGTGTCCCTCAGTGTGTATCCCCTCAGTGTCCCTCAGCGTGTATCCCCTCAGTGTGTATCCCCTCAGTGTGTATCCCCTCAGTATGTATCCCCTCAGTGTCCCTCAGTATGTATCCCCTCAGTATGTATCCCCTCAGTGTCCCTCAGTGTGTATCCCCTCAGTGTGTATCCCCTCAGTGGGTATCCCCTCAGTGTCCCTCAGGGTGTATCCCCTCAGTGTCCCCCAGTATGTATCCCCTCAGTATGTAACCCCTCAGTGTCCCTCAGTGTGTATCCCCTCAGTGTCCCTCAGTGTTTATTCCCTCAGTGTGTATCCCCTCAGTGTCCCTCAGTGTGTATCTCCTCAGTGTGTATCCCCTCAGTGTCCCTCAGTGTTTATTCCCTCAGTGTGTATCCCCTCAGTATGTATCCCCTCAGTGTCCCTCAGTATGTATCCCCTCAGTATGTAACCCCTCAGTGTCCCTCAGTGTGTATCCCCTCAGTGTGTATCCCTATAGGTTGAAACAATTGATTGAAATCACCCTCACCGTCACCACTCCTGTATGGGTTTTCTCCTGTATGCGACCTGTGGTGTTTCTGCAGGTTTGACGCGTTGCTATAGCTCCTTCCACATACATCACACTTGTGTGGTTTTTCTCCGGAGTGTGTTCTGATATGTAATTGTTGTGTAGATACTGAGCTAGCTTAAACATTTTACCACAGACATCACATTTAAATGGTGTTTCCCCTGTATGTGTCCTGAGGTGTCTCTGTATGACATACGCCACACTTGTACGGCTTCTCTCCTGTATGTATCATGAGGTGTTGCTGTAAGTTACCTGCCTGACTAAATCCTCTACAACATATATCACACTTGCACGGTTTCTCCCCAGTGTGCGTTCTGACGTGTGCCTGTAAGCTACTGGAGTCACAGAAGCCCCTACAACAAACATTACACTTGTACGGAGTCTGGCCCTTATGTTTCCTCATGCATTTCTGCAGGATAGCCCTTTACCACAGATTTCACATGTAGGCGTTGTTTCCTTTGTATGTGATTTGGTGTGTTTCTGCAGGTCGCCGAAGTCAATAAAACTCTTACTACAGACCTCAAACTTGTATGATTTTTCCTCAATGACACATAACCCCTCCTCCCTGTATGGTTGTCCCCCTGTATGTATCCTGAAATGTCTCTTTGGGCTTGCAGCCTCATTGAAATATTTACCACACATGTACACATGACACATGTATGGCTTCTCCCTTGTATGTGTTCTTCTGTGCACCTTTAAGTCAGGTGAGCGACTGCATTTTTTTTCTCACAAAAAATCACATTTATATTGCTTTTCCCCTGTATGAGATCTGACATGCTTCTTTAGGCTATGCGACTGATTAAACCGTCTACCACAGTCACTACATTCGTATAAAGTTTCTCCTGTGTGTGTCCCGATGTGTTCCTGTAGAGCGTCCCCTTGACTTAAGCACTTACCGCAGACCTCACACTTGTACGACGTATCCCCTGTATGACTAAATTCTTCACTATACACATCACACTTGAATGTCTTCTCTCCTGTATGAATCTTTACGTGTACCTGTAAATCCGATGAACGGCTAAATCTCTGATCACAAAAATAGCATTTGTATGGCCTTTCCCTTGTATGTGTTCTGATGTGTTTCTGAAGATTTGACCCGTCACTAAAGCCCTTACCACAGACATCACACTTGCACGGCTTCTCCCTTGTATGGATTCTGATGTGCCTCTGAAGGCAATAATCATTACTAAATCCTTTACCACAGACGTCACAATTATAAGGTCTCTCCCCTGTATGAGTTTTGAAGTAATTTTGTTCATCAACAGATTGGCTAAAACGTTCATCAATTCGATCAATTATGTTTCTTTTTTCACCTGCATGAGGCTTGTTGCAATCCTTTAACTGAGAATGACGAAAATCGTCATCGGTGTGAATGTCAGGTCCCTCGTCTTTAGGGATACGAATATGTGACTCTCGTTGAGAGCCTTTAACATATTATTCACATACACCATACATGTACATGCTTGGTCCCTCATCTGTATTTGTCTTCACGAGTACCTTCTGCTGAAACAAGTCACTAACCTCTTTATCACAAACATTGTAAACATTTGGTTCCTGGCCTGTATGTGTCCTGGTGTGTACCTCTAGTTGAGAGGAGTCACTAAACTCTTTATCACAGACATCACACGTGTACATGTTTGGTTCCTGACCTGTGTGTCCTGGCGTGCACCTCTAGCTGAGAGGAGTCACTAAACTCTTTATCACAGACATCACACTTGTACATTTTTGGTTCCTGGCCTGTATGTGTCCTGGTGTGTACCTCTAGCTGAGAGGAACCACTAAACTCTTTATCACAGACATCACACGTGTACATGTTTGGTTCCTGACCTGTGTGTCCTGGTGTGTACCTCTAGCTGAGAGGAACCACTAAACTCTTTTTCACATGCGTTACACATGTCGTATTTGGTCTGTCAGTAATAACAAGACCTTTAAAATTTGTATCACTGACATTACATTTCCTCATGGCGGACTCTTGTTTAGATTATTTAGGGATATGATCTCATTCCTTTTATTGTTTGTTAATCAAACAATCTTTGACTTAGTTATACATATAATAGGATAAGTGTTCTATCTGCCAGAAGAAATAGGTTCTTTTCGGTCATTTATTGTTGGATTAGTTGATTTCAAAGTATCCATGAGTTTGAATTCCGAATGTTGCATGGAAGCGGGACCATTTCTGTATTGAAGTAAAAATGAAAACGAGGTTGTAATCGTAAATATAAAACTGGCTGTGGCACAATTAGAAAATCATTTTCACGGCTGATTTAATTTCACAGTATTGATGGTCATTCAATTTTTGGCCAATTTTAATCCAAGTGAAATAGAGATGTATTCCCAGAGCTATAGAGATATAAGCCCAGTGATATGGAGATCTAATCCCAGTGATATAGAGAGCTAACCCCAGTGATATATAGATCTAATCCCAGTGATATAGAGATATAGTTCCAGAGATAAAGAGATATAATCCCAGAGCAATAGAGTTAATTCCACTGATATAAAGATATAATCCAAGTGATATAGAGATGTAATCACAGTGATATAGACATCTAATCCCATTGAGATAAATATATACTCTCAGAGCTATAGAGATCTAATCCCAGTGATATTGAGATCTAATCCCAGAGCTATAGAAATCTAATCCCAGTGATATATTGATCTTATTCCAGTTATATAGAGATCTTATTCCAGTTATATATAGATCTAATTCCAGAGCTATAGATATCTAGTTCCAGTTATATAAAGATCTTAATATATATATATCTCATACCAGTGATATATAGATCTTATCCCAGTGATATAGAGATATAATCCCAGTTATATAGAGATATAATCCCAGTGATATAGAGATATAATCCCAGTGATATATAGATCTTATCCCAGTGATATAGAGATATAATCCCAGTTATAAAGAGAGATAATCCCAGTGATATAGATATCTCATACCAGTGATATATAGATCTTATCCCAGTGATATAGAGATATAATCCCAGTTATATAGAGATATAATCCCAGTTATATATATATCTAATTCCAGTGAAAAAGAGATATAATCCCAGTGATATAGAGATATAATCTCAGTTATATATATATCTAATTTCAGTGAAAAAGAGATATAATCACAGTGATATAAAGATATAATCCCAGTGATATAGCGATATAATCCCAGTGATATAGAGATATAATCCCAGTGATATAGAGATATAATCCCAGTGATATAGAGATATAATCCCAGTGATATGGATATCTCATACCAGTGATAAAGAGATATAATCACAGTGATATAGATATTTATTTCCAGTGATAAAGAGATATAATCCCAGTGATATAAGAGAAATAATCACAGTGATATAGAGATCTAATCCCAGAGCAATAGAGATTTATTCCCCCTGATATAAAGATATATAATCCCAGTGATATAGAGATATAATCCCAGTGATATAGAGATATAATCCCAGTGATATATAGATCTTATCCCAGTGATATAGAGATCTAATCCCAGTGATATAGAGATATAATCCCAGTGATATAGAGATATAATCCCAGTGATATATAGATCTTATCCCAGTGATATAGAGATCTAATCACAGTGATATAGAGATATAATCCCAGTGATATAGAGATCAAATCCCAGTGATATAGAGATATAATCCCAGTTATAAATAGATCTAACTTCAGTGATAAAGAGATATAATCCCAGTGATATAGATATCTTATTCCAGTGGTAAAGAGATATAATCCCAGTGATATACGAGATATAATCCAGTGATATAGAGATATAATCACAGTGACATAGAGATCAAATCCCAGTGATATAGATTGAGATCTAATCCCAGTAATATAGATATATAATCCCAGTGATATAGAGATCTAATTCCAGTGATAAAGAGATATAATCACAGTGATATAGAGATCTAATCCCAGTGCTATAGAGATCTAATCAAAGTGATATAGAGATCTAATCACAGCGATAGAGATCAAATCCCAGTGATATAGAGATCTAATCCCAGTTGTATAGAGATCTACTCACAGTGATATAGAGATCTTATCCCAGTGATATATAGATCTAATTCCAGTGATAAAGAGATCTAATCACAGTGATATATAGATCTTATCCCAGTGATAAATAGATATAATCCCAGTGATAAAGAGATATAATCCAAGTGATATAGAGATCTAATCCCAGTGATAAAGAGATACAATCACAGTGATATAGAAATCTAATCACAGTGATATATAGATCTTATCCCAGTGATATAGAGATCTTATCCCAGTGATATATAGATCTTATCCCAGTGATATATAGATCTAATTCCAGTGATATAGAGATCTAATCACAGTGATATAGAGATATAATCCCAGTTATATAGAGATACAATCACAGTGATATAGAGATTTAATCACAGTGATATAGATATCTAATCCCAGTGATATAGAGATATAATCACAGTGATATAGATATCTCTATATCACTGGGATTATATATCTCTTTATCACTGGAATTAAATATCTATATCACTGGGATTATATCTCTTATATCATGGGATTATATCTATATATCACTGGGATTATATCTCTATATCACTGTGATTAGATCTCCATATCACTGGAATTAGATCTATATATCACGGGGATAAGATCTATATATCTATCACTGTGATTAGATCTCTATCTCTATATCCCTGGGATTATATCTCTTATATCATGGGATTATATCTATATATAACTGGGCTTATATCTATATACATTTTGTATAACTGGGATTATATCTATATATCACTGGGATAATATCTATATATCACTGGGATTAGATCTATATATCACTGGGGTAAGATCTATATATCACTGGGGTAAGATCTATATATCACTGTGATTAGATTTCTATATCACTGTGATTGTATCTCTATATAACTGTGATTAGATCTCTATCTCTATATCCCTGGGATTATATCTCTTTATCACTGGGATAAGATCTATATATCAATGTGATTATATCTCTATATCACTGTGATTGTATCTCTATATAACTGTGATTAGATCTCTATCTCTATATCACTGGGATAAGAGCTATATATCACTGTGATTAGATTTCTATATCACTGTGATTAGATTTCTATATCACTGTGATTGTATCTCTATATAACTGTGATTAGATCTCTATATCACTGGAATTAGATCTATATATCACTGGGATTATATCTCTCTATATCACTGGGATAAGAGCTATATATCACTGTGATTATATCTCTTTATCACTGGTATGAGATATCCATATCACTGGGATTATATCTCTCTATATCACTGGGATATATGACTGGGATTATATCTCTTTCTATATCACTGGGATAAGAGCTATATATCACTGTGATTAGATCTCTATATAACTGGAATAAGATCTATATATCACTGGGATAATATCTATATATCACTGGGATTAGATATCTATTTCACTGTGATTAAATGTTTATATCACTGTGATTGTATCTCTATATAATCCCAGTTATATAGAGATACAATCACAGTGATATAGAAATCTAATCACAGTGATATATAGCTCTTATCCCAGTGATATAGAAAGAGATATAATCCCAGTGATATAGATATCTAATTCCAGTGATATAAGAGATATAATCCCAGTGATATAGAGATAGAGATCTAATCCCAGTGATATAGATATATAATCCCAGTGCTATAGGGATCTAATCACAGTGATAGAGATACAATCCCAGTGATAAAGATATCTAATCCCAGTGATATAGAGATATAATCACAGTGATATATAGATCTTATCCCAGTGATATATAGATCTTATCTCAGTGATATAGAGATATAATCCCAGTTATACAAAATGTATATAGATATAATCCCAGTTATATATAGATCTAACTTCAGTGATAAAGAGATATAATCCCAGGGATATAGATATCTAATCCCAGTTATATAGAGATATAATCCCAGTGATATAGAGATATGAAATCCCAGTGATATATATATCTAATTCCTGTTATATAGAGATCTAATCACAGTGATATATAGATCTTATCCCAGTGATATAGAGATATAATCCCAGTGATATAGATATTTAATTCCAGTGATAAAGAGATATATAATCCCAGTGATATAGAGATATAATCCCAGTGATATATAGATATAATCCCAGAGCAATAGAGAGTTAATCCCACTGATATAAAGATATGTAATCCCAGTGATATAGAGATTTATTCCCAGTGATAAAGAAATCTAATGAAAGTAATATAGAGATCTAATACCAGTGATATAGAGATGTAATCACAGTGATATAGACATCTTATCCCATTGATATAAAGATATACTCTCAGAGCTATAGAGATCTAATCCCAGTGATATTGAGATCTAATCCCAGAGCTATAGAAATCTAATCCCAGTGATATATAGATCTTATTCCAGTTATATAGAGATCTTATTCCAGTTATATAGAGATCTAATTCCAGAGCTATAGATATCTAGTTCCAGTTATATAAATATCTTATCCCAGTGATACAGATATCTAATCCCAGTGATATATAGATCGTATTCCAGTTATATAGAGATCTAATCCCAGTGAAATAGAGATCTAATCCCAGTGATATATAGATCTTATCCCAGTGATAAAGAGATCAAATCCCAGTGATAAAGAGATATAATCCCAGTCATATATAGATCTAATTTCATTGATAAAGAGATATAATCCCAGTGATATAGAGATATAATCCCAGTGATATAGAGATATAATCCCAGTGATATAGAGATATAATCCCAGTGATATAGAGATCTAATCCCAGTGATATATAGATCGTATTCTAGTC